GCATCTCCTGAGCATCACCTGGCCAGCTTCCCACTGCCCTCATCCCTGTTCCCTTCTGCATAGTTGTTATATGCAAACAGAACTGCTCCTGCTACAGGAAAACCAAAGGGCACTTTGGTTGTTCCTGTAAGAAGTCAAAGCTGTTTGTGCTGTCTCTGAAGACTTTGATTCATTATTTTGCCTTCTGCCAGGCTGCAGGGGTGGGAGCTCAGCATCTCCGTTGACTCCGTTTTGATGTTTAACTCCTACTGCACAGGTGGTGATAAATCACCATTTATCATTAGCCTCTCAGGTATGGCTTTCTCCTGGTCACTAACAGAGCAGAGCGAAGACCGTGATCCACGGGCCTTCCCACAGATGTGCTCACGTCTGTCCTGCTGGAAAGTGGCAGAAAGCTCTGTTTGTTTTTCTCGCCATCAGTTGCTCTGATGGGGAAACTGTGGCACAACTCGTCAAAAGCTCGTTCCTGGCTGAGAAGAACTTTACCCTGGTCCTCCTGGTGTGGAAGTGCTTTGGGAGAAGGTCTCTGCTTTGCAGTGAAGGGCAAGGACTGCTGGTGATGCCTGCTGATGGTCACTTCTGGGCCATTGCTGTGGGATGTAGGGACAGTGTCTCAGTTCTCTGAGGAGTTTGAGTGCACACAGAAACGTAGGGGGTCACAAATTCACTATGTCACTTTTGCTTTATCTGCCATGCTAAACCTCTGCCTCAAAAAGACCTTCCTAAGTGAGGCAGATCATCCCTGAAGGAGCTGTCTCTGTTTCACTAGGTAAATAACAGCTTGGTGACTTATCCTCAGCTTATCAGCTCATGCAGGTAAAGGTTCACGTCCATGTCTTCCCTGTTGCTTGTTCTTCCCTCCCTCCTTGTTAGTCATGCAAGAGCTTCGTCATTGCTGCTCTGCAGCTAAAAGCAGTTTCCAGCTGAGGGTTCCTCTGGGAAGCAGCTCTTGGTCCCAGGGGGAGCAGGACTGGAAAAGAGCCATGTTAATTTGTATTTGCCACCTCCTTCTTTTAAGCTTTATCTTTTCAATTGCAAGTTGTAACAAAATCTATTTTCCAACATGGCATTTCTTTCAAGGGAGCTGTGCAAGGATGAGGTACCAGCAGCAAGTGAGATAAGACAAGGGTGAGGAACAGCTGAAGCTGCTCTGCACTTCTACAGCCCTACTTAGCTGATAACAAAGCGACAAATAACTCACCCTTATTATTTTAAAGGAGAATAGAACAGAAATGTATTTCCTGCATTTTTCCTCAGACAGGACATTCCTCAGAGAGATAACAGTGGCGATGCTCTGGGAAACAGCAGAGGCTGAACTATTCCTGTGCCGCTCCGTGTTAGACGAAGCTCTTCTTACTGCTGGATGCAGACACAGAACCAGGGAATGGTTTGGGTTGAAGGGACCTTAAAGCTCCTCCAGCTCCAACCTCCTGCCCTGGGCAGGGACACCTTCCACTAGAGCAGGTTGCTCCAAGCCCCTGTGTCCAACCTGCCCTTGAACACTGCCAGGGATGGGGCAGCCACAGCTTCTCTGGGCACCCTGTGCCAGCGCCTCAGCACCCTCACAGGGAAGAGCTTCTGCCTCAGAGCTCATCTCAATCTCCCCTCTGGCAGGTTAAAGCCATTCCTCTTGGCCTGTCCCTACAGGCCCTTGTCCAAAGTCTCTCTCATCCCTCTTTATCCTCTGCTCAGGAAGCTTTGGCTCCAAACACTGCACAGGGTGGGCTAACAGCAACAGAGGAGCTAATCCTCCCCCTGGCTGAGGTCTTCTTTTGGTCTGTTCTGTCTTTGGAGAACAGATGGAGGCCTTACCTCCATCCATAGCAGGAATACCCAAGCAACCTCTGGCCCTGGGCATTTTCTGTTAGGTGAGGAATTAACTTGGGTTTCTGGTGTCTTGTAAGTGAAAGGACATTTAAAACACAGCATTTTGAATACAGGTATTTTCTTCAAAGTGGTATTTTTGGATTCATACCAGAAAGCTCATTACACCAATTAAGGTCAACTCTGTCTAACTGGTGTTTCAGTTTAATAAATCACGAAAAGGTCTTGGCAAATTCAATGTCATCTTCAGACAAGCCAATGCCCTTCCCAGGCAGATGCTCAAAAAATGCCCGTAAAATCCTGATGCCTTCGACGTGTGTTTCGTGTGAGCTGTCAGAGGCAGGAGGAGGAGGAGGTCATGCATGAAAGTAGCTGTGGATCCTGTCAAATGCATTATGAATGGCAGCTCAGCAAGAATTGACACGAACCGAGGTGGTTCTCAAGCTGGCACCAAGTTTTCAGAGGTGGTAAAGGGGCGGTTCTGGTGTTTCCCGTGAATGAGCCCGGTGTGGCAGCAGAGTCGAGCAAAGTGCTCGGGATGGGCACAAGGGTCTCAACAGGAACTTTTCGGTCAGGGAGCAGCTCCCAGCAGGGATGGATTCTGCACTGCAACGATGCCCTTTGTGGTAACAGCCGTGTTTGCACTAAGTCTGAGTTCTCCAGTTTTCTGATGCAACTGTTTGACACTGAGGTTCCTGGGCACAATTCCAAGACTTAAAGCGTAGGAAAGCGGTTCCTCTGCCCTCTCTGCCTCGGTGGGAGTACATTTAGCCAAATCGCAAAGGAAACTCAACTGCTGACTTGTACAATCCTATTTATCATTGAATAAGATGGGACCTATTTATTCACCCCAGTAGTGATCCATACTCCCACCTTGGAGCTGCAGCAGCAAACACATGTTGCAATCTGACCTGTACCGGAGGCTGGCGAGGGAGAGGAAAAGCTGCAAGAACTCCCAGCCCTTCAAGTCCAAGACCCTTTGGGCAGTCAGGAGGTTTTGCCTCAAGCTCTTTGTGAACTTAATAAGCTGGGTAATTCCGTCGAAGAGCAGTGCGTTTCCTGTGGGATACGAGACACAGCAGCTGGTGATTCCCAAGTGTTCAGCAGAACTATCCTGTTCTGATGTAGATGCTGCATTTTGTGTCTGATGCTTCCTTGAGATTTCACTTACAAGAACTGATGTGGAAATCCAAAATACACAGTAGCTGTTGTATTCCAGGGTCTGAAGGGGGCTACAAGGACGCTGGAGAGAGACCTTCATCAGGGACTGCAGTGATAGGACAAGGGGTGATGGGTTCAAACTGAAACAGGGGAAGTTCAGGTTAGATCTAAGGCAGAAGCTCTTCCCTGTGAGGGTGCTGAGGCGCTGGCACAAGGTGCCCAGAGAAGTGGTAAATGCCCCATCCCTGGCAGTGTTCAAGGCCAGGTTGGACAGAGCCTTGGGTGCCATGGTTTAGTGTGAGGTGTCTCTGTCCATGGCAGGGGGTTGGAACTGGGTGATCTTAAGGTCCTTTCCAACCCAAACCATTCTTTCATTCCCACATAACACAAGACCTTCTTGCTGCTTCTACTTAAGGTAAAGCGTATGTCAGGAATCCTATTTATAGTAGCTATGGTAAAGCACAGATGTGAGTTTCCCAGTTTATCTTCCGAGAGCTAAACTGCCTGCTAAGGATGGGTTTTGTGGGAGATTATTCGAACTGTATTTTTCGGGTGAGTCCAGCATTTCTTACAGCTCATGGAGCTGAGAATCTCTTTGCCTTAAGTACATTAGACATGAACTGAAGAGGTGCTGTCAGCTTACATGACAGATCCCAAAATACTCCTGTCTGCAGCCTTGAACTTCAGTTTTATCCAGCTTTAACAAGAGGCTGCTCGGCGCCTCTCTGCCAAGGGAGGCTCCGCAGGAGGATCAGACCTGGGTCCAGCGGAGTCGTCTGAGCTGTGGCTACTTGCACAAGCCAGAAATACTCGGGACACAACCATACCCCGGGTTCCTCGGGTTGCAGGCGGTGAATGAAGTAGGTGCTGTCTGGTTCATGCAGTGGTGCTTTATGGTCCAAGCACACACATCAAGAGAGGCGAGGAAGAGGTGATAGATCCTGCATAAACTTCTGGAGGGTTTGGTGTTTGATTCTGGTCACAGCAGACACCAGGGCAGGCGATCAAGGGATTGTCTGTGAACTCAGAGCAATCTGCTCCTGAATCCTCCATGGCGCCGACAGAGAGACACGGCTCCAGAGCAAAGCCTGTGCTCATCCTCAGGGGCCAGTGTTCTCTGTGGCTTCGAGCTCCTGGAACTTTGGTTTGGGCAGAAATCTGGGAATTAATACCCTGTAAGAAAGGAACTAAAAATAGCCAAGATTTTCTCTTTCTGAAGCGCTGTGAATCATTTCGCTGCCTGGATCATATATATATATATACACATATAAAATACAGCTTCATCTTTTCCTGATAGCTGTGGAAGCTCTTTCCTCTCCAGAAAAAGGCTGAAATGCTGAAATGCAGAGTGTGTGAGGTAAAAGTGACTCAGAGCCTCAGAGAGCAGACGCAGCTTCTATGCTCTTCAGAATAAGGAAGAATGTGTAGTACTTTCTGTACAATCTCTTTCTATGTTTGCTTCCACTGCATCAGCAGCTTGTGATTTGTTTCTTCTTTATTGGTATTTACTTTTTATTCCCTATGGGCACATCTGGACAAGTTGTGAGCACTGATAGAATAACAACAATCTGCTTCCAGGATCGAGGCAGATCGATGCTCTTAATACAGTGTCTGAGCACCTGGGCTATGAAGCAAAAAGGCAGTTTCTGCTTGTTTCCATCACCCAGTTCTACAATCCCTCTCTATTTCAGGCTCAGCAGTTTGCCAATGCCAGAAAACAAACCAAGGCTGGTGGTTTATGGCCAGTGTAAGCATCATGGTGTAAAACTTCATAGCTCTGGGCATCTGGAGACACATGTTTCTCCCAAAATGTGTCTGGGGCAGGAAGTGCTCCTGAACCTGCCAGGGGATGCTCACTTGAGTTTGACTCTTGCTGCAGGACCTGCTGAGAGTCCCCATTAGTCATTTGGAACCTTTCTTTCCTTTACTTACGGCTTTCTCACCACCTTTCCTTTCTTTTCTCCTTCCCTCTTCCTCCCCTTTCCCTGTCGCTGTTGCTTTCCCTCCCCTTGCAGAGCTCTCCGTCAGCCTCCTCGCAGTGATAGTGATTGTGTGTGGACTGGCCCTGGTGGCAGCTTTTCTGTTTCTCTTTTGGAAGCTGTGCTGGGTTCCCTGGAGGAACAAGGCTGTCCCCTCTGCCCTGGCCGTCCTGCAGAGCGAGGCGGGCTGCCACAAGGGGAGCATGGCGGACAAGCTCAAGGACACGAGTGCCATCGGCTTCCTGGAGGCAGCGGTGAAGATCAGCCACACGTCGCCAGACATCCCCGCAGAGGTCCAGATGTCCATGAAGGAGCACATCATGCGGCGCACGCGGATCCAGCGGCAAACAACAGAGCCCGCGTCTTCCACCAGGTGAGCGGGACCATGGGATCATGGAACCACAGCCTGGTTTGGGTTGAAGGGAGCTTAAAGCTCCCCCAGCTCCAACCCCTGCCCCGGGCAGGGACACCTTCCACTAGAGCAGATTGCCCAAACTCCACATTTGCTAT